GCTACTAGGAGCAACGACGCTACTAGGGGCTCCTGGCATCGCTACTAAGAGCAAGGACGCTACTAGATGCACCCGTACTGGACCAAGAACATTCTCAGTTCAATCCCTGACGTCATGGGCGCGGCGATGCGCGGCGCGATGCGCGGCACCCAGCATGTCGCCTCCTCTTTGAAGCGCTTGTCCTCTCGGGAGCGCCAATTCTTCCAGGCTCGGCTCTTGCCCAAGGCTTTCTCCATGAAGCCTCGGAAATACGATTGTGTGGAGTGCTGAAGAGCCGTATCAGGGTCAAGGACTAAAAGGATCTGGCGCGCGGTCAAATGAGCCTGTCCAGCGTTGAACTGGCACAAGGATTGGAAAGAAATTGTCACCAAAGTTGGCCGATTGACCCCCGAAAAGGCAGCATCCTGTACTGAACGAGGGAGTGCAAAGGACTGCAGACCCGAAAGAAAGCATACAAACACCACCAGGAAAATTCATGGCCACACATGTTCGCTCAAACCATCCAACACCCTCGGAGCATGTTTTGTGGTGGTTGGAACCAAACAAGCTGCCGCGCAATCGATTTACCCTCATATTTGCCGAAGGAACAAACGAAACCAACAAGAAAGACCCCACGTTGAGAAGGGAATACAAAATATCCCCCAATATCCAGCATTGCATCAAAAGGAAGCTAGTAGTAACAAGTGCCTTACTAGTAGTAACAAGTGCCTTACTAGTAGTAACAAAAAGCTATTAGAATTAAACTAAATTAGAAACAAGTGCCTTACTAGTAGTAACAAGTGCATCGCTACTGGCAGCCGAGACGCTTCCGAACTTCAACCGGTGCTTGTATTCATCCTTTGCAAACTCCTGGATTGGGGTGGTGACCACATGCTTTCATGCACGGAACCTGGAAACTCAAATGCTTCGAGCCTTTCTTGGACGGCTTATCTGTTCTTTTAGCCTGCTCCTATTTCAGTAAGTAGTTGGTTCCTAGACTTTTAGGCAGAAACTCAACTAAAGAAAAACAAATATATCTTTGATGCCCTACTCTTGCCTTGGCTTGAGCTTGTGCAAACTGGATGGATACCTCTTTGCTGTCTATCAGGCTATGCGGCTACATGCTACACCCCTCCATCCCCATGGCACCTGCGGAGGCATCTTCGCGAGCGACTCCACACAGCCTGGATGTGACAGTGTGGCTGTCTGGTGAGGTGTCATGAGGTGATGCTTGTTGAGAGGACCGGAGGTGACAATGGCCTCCAACCTACTAGCAAAGGCCCTCCAACCTACTAGCGATGGCCTCCAACCTAAGAGCGAAGGCCCTCCAACCTAAGAGCGATGGCCTCCAACCTAAGAGCGATGACCTCCAGAAGCAATGGCCTCCAACCTACTGTTTAATCCTATATCAACTACCAAACCATACTAGACCTGTCCGAGATGTCCTCTGATCAGCGCCAAGATGCTCTTGTAAAGATCGTAGGTAAGAACTTTTTTCTCCCAGGACGCGTAGTGATCCTCCAAAGCTGTCAGATTAAAACAGTGGGATGCAAGCTAGATGTGGCCTGTTCGTCAAAAGCGCAGGTTTCGTTTTGACGGCCCACTCTGGATACAACTGGAAGAAGACAATCACTCAAACTGAGATTCTACAGAACATTACAGAGCCAAATAGAACCAAAATAACGTCAATCTGACCTTTAGATTTGAGAACACCCCTCAGCTGCTTGGAGCACAGCCGTGTGTTGCCCGTGTTCCACCACACCTCGCTGGGACTGAAAGGCTCCGGTGGGAAGATGTTTGGATGCCTCGGGTTGGTGCAAGCGGTGAGCGCCGCACGCATTCGGATCGCCATATCAAACCCGCATTTCAGGACCAGTTCAAGTTGCATTCGAATGCTCTCTGTGTCCAAAACAAGGTTTATGCAACTCCTCGTTGGGCAGTTCCAGGCATGTTGCTACCCCTAGTGCCTTTTGCTGTGGACTTCACTGCCCCCTCACTTTCTCCAAAGCTTCCAACCCAAATGTTTCTACATACGACCCTTAGGTGACCTCAACTCACCAACCTTTTCTACTCCTTGCAGCGTGTGACGGATGCCTAAGTGCCGAGCGGTACGGGTGCTAACTGGTGCTCTGCTGTGCGCTTCGACCAAGGCACTCATCCTTGTAGCGATGGTTGGAGAGCGTCAGTGGTAGCCGAGGCTTCAGGCCTCACAGGGCGGGCGCCAGAAGTTCAGAAGTTCAGGGTCATCACGTTTGTTTTCTTATTTCTACTCGTTCTCTCTTAATTGTTCTCTACTCGCAGTTCTCCGTTCAAAGACTCCAGACAAAAGTTCACAAGTTCTCCATCTTCATTGCTTCTTTCGACCTGGTGTTTCTGCTTTATCTAGAAATCGCTTTGGTGAGCTCCGTCGCCACTTGAGCCATGTCAGGTGTCCCCATCTGCGGACCCAGGGGCGCAAGCGTCGTCGGCCAAGTTCTGACGGAGGCGGTGGTGGTGGCAACGAGGGACACCAGGCATAACGCTCCTGGCCAACGCAACGGCTGACAGCAGCTCAATCAAGCTAAAGCAAAGTAAGCTTGCCGGCAATTGAAGGTTCTTGAAGGAAGCATTCTTGTCAGCAGCAAGCTAGAGGCACTGACGTCCCAGATCTGCTGAAGACAACTAGGGCCTGCTGGTAGTATTAAATGTGTCTTGACATGCCTGTCACGTTTTATCAGGCATTGGCCTGTGATGTTCCTATTATGATCAACGGAAGGGAAGGCCCCTTCAACAGGGGCCTTATGTTCATTCTTTCTCTTCTCTCATGTTTCTGTTAACTCGTGGCACGCGTGCATGTATCACTCATGTCTGCCAAGGCACTGCATTGGGGATGAAGTACATGGATCCTCCTGTCTCCAGAGACCACTCGGGATAGGGATTGTCCCACACATTCGGCATGGTCTTCTCCTGCAGTCACCCGGGCAGGAGAGGCAGGACAAGTTCCACATAGTTCAACATCACATCAAATTTAATCTAGTCGAATCTATTCCTTGAAATTGTTCGGATTCTTCTGGTTATGTCTCAGTTGGCTCTTGATCCAACAACAGCCTCAACAGATCTCAACAGGATTTATTTGTGAGGATGTCCTGAAAACCAGGTGCAACACTCAGTGCAGCCAACTCAAATCTGGGAAATTGTGATCGACAGGTCAACTTATGTGAATTGAGTAATGAACTTGTCTCACGTGAGAACAATTCATCACTCAATTCAACTTATGTGAAGTTTCGGAGACCGCACATTTCCTTAGGAGCAAGGACGCTACTAGGAGCAAAGGGCATCGCTACCAGGAGCAAGGACGCTACTAGGGGCTCCTGGCCTTACTACTAGGAGCAAGTAGCTAGTAATAACAAGAAGCTACTAGGAACCAAATGAATAGAAGACCGACCACATGTCCTTAATCTGTTCGAAAAAAACAACTCCTGTTCCTTCCCCGATCAACGTAAATAAGATTGGGATTTGAATCGTTAACCCATCTCATTCGTCTCATTGCTGGTCCCAGTGGCGCCATGAATGGCATTGCCACGTGCATCCGTCGTTGGGGCGTTCTCCTTCTGAGCAATGCCCTGGCAAACAGGGCACTCAGGGCACTCGGAGAATTCACCTGGACCGTGTAGCGAGTCATTCTGTGGGTGAACAAATGTGGGCAATTTGGAGAAATGGTTCCAAAGATCAAGCACAGCATACTACAAACAATAACCAGCTCCTTAAGGGAGGACTATGATGGAAATGGTAACAGTTCATTCATCCATTCCTGGCGTCGGCATGGTCGGCTGCCCGGGCAGTCACCCAGCCTTCGGCTCCTCCAACTTGCCAGCCTTTTTGAGCTCAACCTTCAGTGATTCCATCTCATCAGAGAAGTCCAGCCTTAGCGACAGGACGCGGAACCACAACGCCTGTGTAGCAGTGATTCATCTGCTTTGCTGAGCCTTGAAGTAGTTGAGCTGCGGCAATAGCTATACTCTCTTCCGGCCAACATAGTAGCGATGCACTTGTTCCTAGTAGCTTCTTGTTTCTAATAGCTTCTTGTTACTACTAGTAAGGCACCTGTTACTAGTAGCGATGCACTTGTTCCTAGTAGCTTCTTGTTTCTAATAGCTTCTTGAGCATTTCTCTCTGGGTGTTCTCTGTGCTGGGCCATCCTTGCGGAGTGCTGGCACCCGAGGAAGAGCTCGCAGGTGGCGTCTCGTCGAAGCCCGACGGCTGGACCACTGACTGCTCTGGCAGGCCCTCAACACGTGACGGGTGCCCTTGTGGTGCCACGACAAAGAAAGTCGGTGTTTTGCGTGGGAGAGAAAGCGATGGCCTCTGTTTGCCAAAGAAATCGCATTGGGAAGCATGTTCTAACTGAAACGGCATCTTCTCACTGACCTCCGATCTTGGATGTTATCTTTTGGGAGCTGTGGCGCAATGTCAAACACGAAGGGAGATACTGGAAGAACGAAAAGGCTTTAATTTATGGCTGTGGCAAAACCATTGGAGAAAATGTTTCCTGACCATGGAACATGAGCTGATAGTATAGACTCATGGACAAATGGGCAATAAAGGGATCCAATGATGCCTCATGCCAATACACAGATTTTTGTTCCACTGGCAGGTCCGTGCGTGTCATTCTCCGCCTCAGGATGAGTTGGATAGTGGAAGACATCCTCCTCCTTCTCCTCACCTGAGCGGGCTTTGAATGTCCACTTCAACAAAATCCTCTGTAACTTTGTAGCAAGCATCGGACTTCCAACAACTGATGCTCACAAGCCATGGACTGAAGCGCAATCAACTGATATTGAACTGTTCCGGACCTGAACATCTACCAATTACACCACCGTAGACCCCAAACAGTTTGTGCTTTTCAATATCGGAACACTCTGCAACTAGAGCTTGCGACGTCCAGAGCTGGGAGACAAAGGATTGCAAGGCAGAGGCGGCCGCAGCAGTCCAGAGCTGGGAGACAAATGTAGACACAGGGAGACAAATGTGAAGGATTGCAAGCGACATGCAGCCCAGAGCTGGGAGACAAATAAAGGATTGCAAGGCAGAGCCGGATACAAATGCAAAGGATTGCGAGGACAAATGTAAAGGATTGCAAGGCAGAGGCGGACACGGCAGTCAGAGCTGGGAGACAAATGTAAAGGACTGCAGGGAGACAGAAGGCAGACAAGGCGGACGCAATGACCAACAAGAAGGGAGACAAAGGGAAACAGAAGGGAGACAAGGCGGACACAGTGACCAACAAGAAGGCAGACAAGACCAAGAAGGGAGACAAGACCGGAGACAAAGAGAGACAGGAGGGAAACAAGGCGGACACAATGACCAACAAGAAGGGAGACAAAGGGTGACAAGCCGGACGGAAGGCGGACACGCTGTCCCGCAGCAAGGCGGACACCCTTAGAAAGCATTGAGAACCCCTAACAGTAACCTGTTTGGGGAAGAAAAGAAATCACCTGGGAGACAAATGAACAGAAATGCTGCATGGCCAGCGCAAAAGGGCGGACACCAGCAGTGACAGAAAGGGCGGACACATCTTAAGAAAGAATTGAGAACCCACAACAGTAAACCGTTTTGGGGAAAAATCCACATAAGAGAAATTGTTGTTTGCTCAAAAGCTGAGACACGGTGTGGAACAACCACCACGAAATCAATATCGATCTTCATTTGCCCGTCATAGGCAGTCAAGGGCCCACAGTCGTCCTGAGAAGTTACAGAAAACACGAGACATCAGGACATGGCGACCTGAGTAAATCCAACAACACCCAACGTTTCTGGTGGGACTTGCCAATCCAACAACCGATAGTGAGTTTTGGTGGTTTGCAGGGCTTTCTGGAATTGAGGGTATGTAGAGCCATGTCTATATACTTCTACAATAGCAATAGAGTAGAGATGCGATGAGATGTGGCATGATGTGGCACTCTTGTCTTTCCTGTGTCTTGTCTTCATCTCACTTCCTAGGCCCATGGCATCCATATCTGACTCTGCTTCGGAGTCGGTACTCCCTTCCTTGGACGACAGGCTGAAAGACTCTGTGCTACCGAACGGATCCACCGAACTCCCAGACCTGCAAGCCTTATAAGTCCCTCACTTCTATGCACGGGAGAATTTCGAAGGCTCAGTGAACGTGAAAAAAGGGAAGAGAGCAAAACAGCGACCTCTTCAGAGCCAAAGAGCGACCTCTTAGGAGCAAAGGACGCTACTAGGGGCTCCTGGCATCGCTACTAGGAACAAGAACGCTACTAGGGGCTCCTGGCATCGCTACTAGGA